AAATAGCAGAACCTGGCTTTCATTTTACTGCTTACGTGGTTAACTATCCTAGAACAGTTCATTTTATCATCAGGGCAGGGATTTTGTCTTATTTACTGCTGCACACTGGAACCTAGTTATATCTGGCACACATAATAGCTCCTTAGTAAAGATTTGTTGAATACAGGTGTTTTTGTAAGGCGTCTTCACAATATTTATTAAACTGCTTTCGTAGACCATATTTAACATGTACAATTATGCTTCTGTGCAGATTGATTCTCTCGAATATATTATGTACCCATGTAGTCCATAAAGTCTAGTTGATTCTCCCTCCTTAATATCTCTCATACCTGTTCCTCACCTCCACTGCCACTTTCTTCATTGAATCCCTTGTCTCACCTGGATTATTGTAGTTTTTTGTTGTTGTTGAGGAAGATTAGCCCTGAGCTAACATCTGTTGCCAATCCTCCTTTTTTTGCTGAAAAAGATTGGCCCTGAGCTAACATCTGTGCCCATCTTCCTCCATTTTATATGTAGGATGCCTGCCACAGCATGGCTTGAAAAATGGTGCACAGGTCCGCACCTGGGATCCGAACCTGGGAATCCCGGGCCGCCAAAGCAGAGTGTGCAAACTTAACCACTATGCCACCAGGCTGGCCCCAAGGATTATTGTAGTTTTTAAACTGATATCATACTTTCAAATCTTATACACTCCAACCACCCTTCCCATTACTGCCAGGTACAGCATCTCTAAGATACAAATTTACTCTCTTGTTAGAATACTTAAATGGTTCTTAGAGTGATGACATCCAGCCATGATGTCCCTACACACTGAAGTGTCACAATCAGTTGGGAGGTGATAGGTATATCAGAGTATTTGTGCTGTCTCGCATGAATGTAAGTCCAAAAGGAGATAAAAATGAGTATAGTGCCATATTTATAAATTATCTTTTAAATGATTCATGAAATCACAAGGATAGAGACAGAGCAGCTACAATGTCCATTTTCTTTGCCACCTTATATAGCTAGAAAGAGCATATTTCTAAACTAGACCTTACCAGAAAGACAGTACTTTTCTCTAGAATGTTTTCATTATGGCAATACCCTCTTTACTTAGTGACTTTTATTTATGCTGTGTGTTTGTTGTAGATGGTAGTGTTTTTATTTTTAATAAATTAAAGACATTAATAGAGGAACGTTATACTTTTCATAATGCAGATATTATATATTTTATAGTTATATATTTCTAACCATTCAAAGAATGAACCAGAAGGCAAAAGAGGTCAATATAAAAATGTCTTTTCCCATCATCCCTACACTTTTAGTAGGTTGAAATTGTGTTTCTGAAAGGAGTGATTGCCAGCTTAAATTTGTTTGTCATTGTCATGAATTGAGCAGTAAGATGCACAGACAATATGGTATGGCATCAACAGTGGAATCATCTTATAGGTCAGGAAATAACAAGATCTGAATGTTGTCAACTACAAGAGTCATATTAACACAAATCCAAGTAATATTTTATCCATTTAAAAGTAAATTTTCATCATTCTGAGTTAGTATTTTCCTTCAAAGGGATAAATATGTAGCCTGGAATATTGAGTGAGGTATTTTTACTAAGTCTCACTGTCTAATTTACTTCTGTTATTATATTGTAGGTATTTTGTGAAGGCCACTTGCTTTATAATAAATGCTAAAGGAGCATATTAAGTGGTGTTAGATGTTAAGATGCAGTTAAATAAAACATTCTGCTTGAAGTGTCGCAGTACAGATCTCAAAGCCAAGAAGCAGCTGGAAATTAGGGGAATTCCCAGAAGCAAGGAAGCCACAGAGAGTGAGCCCAACTCTGCCTAAATCCTTGGCTGAGTATCATATTTCATAGGCTCAGGGGAGACCCATAGGGAACCAGGCTAAAAAAGCAGCAGTTGGAAGCCACAGAACAAAACAGAGATATAAGCAGCTGAGTACCATGGGTTAGAGAGAATTTGTAGTTTGAATCCAGGTAAGATAACTGCCTATTAGAATACAAATCCAAAAGTCCTCAGAAAAACCTGACAGAATTCAGTGTTTCTATATTATCTACAGTGTCTAGTTTTCTACAAAAATATTAGACATGCAATTAAGCAGGAAAATGTGATCCGTACCCAAGAAAAAGGCAGTCAATAGAAACTCTTAGCTTAGGTTTAAATTTAGCAAAGACTTCAAAGCAGCTGTTTTAAATATATTCAAAGAGTTAAAGGAAAATATGGTATGAATAAATAAGCAGATAGGTAATCTCAGCAGAGCAATGGAAACTATGTTTAAAACAAAACAAAACAAAAACAAACCTGGAAGTCCTAAAGCTGAAAAGTACAATTACTGTAAAAAAAAAAAAATTGCTAGATTGGCTCAAAAGCAGTTTGGAAATGTCAGAAGAAAGGAACAGCAAACCTGAAGATCCAGTAGGAATGACCCTGTCCAAAGAATGGAAAGAAAAAAGATTTCAGAAAAATGAACAAAACCTAAAAGAACTGTGAAGTAGTCCAATATACATATTCTTGCAACCATGAAAGGAGAGATGAGAAAGAGGCATAAAAATATTTGAAGAAATAATGGCCAAAAACTTCCCAAATTTAGTGAAAAACATTAATGGATAGATCCAAGAGCCCCAAGAAGAATGAACCCAAAGAAAATCATTTCTAGACACATCATAATCAAACTGCTATATGATAAGGAGAATATTTTGAAAGCTACCAGAGGAAAATGACACTTGTTGCCTACATTTCAAGAAAAAAACTGAAACTATTTGTTGCTAATGATAAAATTTGAACTTTTAAGAAAAAAAATTAAAATTTTGGAAAACTTGTATTCACCAATAGCTTTCCAATACTTTGAAAGAAATTTCTTGTGGTGTTAATGGTGATATTAACAAATGTGATTTTTAAAAAATATTGTATAATGAAATGTGTCAACATTTGAAGATCCACATAAGGAAGATCTGCATAATTAAGTAAATCAGTATTTTCCAAATAGCTGATGCATGATATTATGAAATCATTCACTGGTAAAAGAGCCATTCAAAGTGCAAAGTAGACCAATGGATTTTAATGTAACAGAGTACAAAAAGTTTATTGATATGGCTTCAGATTCCACATTGCAACTACTTTTTAAACTACCACTCATCAAGATTTGTTGTAGTATCAAAGCAGAGTAACTGCAATTATCTAAAAAGGCTGTTAAATTATTCCTCCCTTTCCCAACTATCTCTGAGAGACTGGATTTTCTTCATATACTTCAACCAGAACAACATATTGAATGCAGAAGCAGATTTGAGGATCCTAGCTATCTTCATTTAAGCTAGACATTAAAGAAACTTGCAAAAATGTAAAACAGTGTGTTTTTGTTTTGAACATTACAACTGTTTCTCATAAAAATATACTATTTATGTTAATATATAGTGAGTTTGACTGTTACTTTTAAATTAATAAATTAAAAAAATCTTAGTTTTAATTTCTAACACAGTAAATGTCGGTAGATATAATCCACATTAACAAAAGCTCTTTGGAGTCTTTCATACTTTTTAAGTGTAAAGGTGCCCTGAGACCAAAAAACTTAAGAATTGTTTTGAGTCTGTTATGTCTCCACCTTCAGATAGCAGATTCCTTTGAGAGCATCAGACTAGATAATTGGAAATATCTCGTAGCCCAGGAGATTAGTGTTCTTGAGTCTATGATGACATTCAATTTTTGTTGATATCCTTGATCATTTTCAAGTAGACTGTATAGTATGCTGTCAGGTGTGCTGCTTACTACTTCTAATGGCAACCTTTTTTTTTTTTTCACTTCTGATATTTGTTTGCAGACCTTTTATTTTTAGTGGGGTGCTTTACCAGGAAAGCAATAAGGGACTTTTGGTGACTAATCCTTATTTTTTTTACTTCCTCCTCCTTTTGTTATGTTCAGAGGTTATCAAAGGAGAGCTGTTCAAAAAGTGTTAGAGGACTTCTGTAGTGGCCTACACAGTCAATTGCTATGCTATTCTCGATTATTCAGTTTCTGGGAAAGAGCATTAAACATTTCAAAACAAAGAATCATTGAAGTGTGTCTTACATGGTGTGAAGAAGAATTATAAAGAAAGGTGGTACCTGAGAAAAACTCATCCAGAATTTTTTCTTTTAGTCCTACTTATAATCTTTTAGATGCACGTAGCAATGGTTGGTGGTGTTTCTTATCTACTGGATAACAAAACCAATGAGCCAGAAATAAATTTGTTATAAGGGATGTTCAATACATAAATGTGTAGTAAGTTTATTTTAACATTGCATTACTTTGTTCTTTGATAAAAATAAACCACCATAAAACAAAAGCAAAAAAAAAGCCTACCTCCCTACCAACTTGTATGAAACTGGATAGTTCCCAACTTCTTCCGTGTGTTACTGCTTTTCCTGTTTCTTGGTATTCCTTCCACTTTTCCATTGTTCTTAGTGACTTTATACTTAATTTGAATTTAGAAGACTCCTTACTATTAATGAGCTCGCATAGATCTGGTTGTTATTTTAAGACTTAGATTCTTGTGGTCTTAAAATGATCAAAATCATCAGACAAAAAGAGAGTGTTTCTGTACCCTCCCTTCTGGCTTTTTATGTCTTCACCTAATATTTTTGGTAGTTTGGAAATTTACATGTGTGGACAGGAACACTAAAACAACTTTATTTTATACTTTATTTCTTTGAAAGTTGAGCTACATGGAAGTAATAAAACTGACAATTTTTCCCCATATTGTGTTTAAGGGATTTAGTAGTGGTTTACTTTCTGGGCCATATTTTATTTCATTTTATTTTTGAAATGACATGGGTTTTCTTTCTCTTTACAAATGATTATGATTCTGAAAGTCACATAGAGGCTTTCAACAGAATAGAAAGCTTCCAATTTGAGGATGTCAATTAGAGGATTTCAATTAGAAGCGTATTTATTTGGGTCTATAAATAAGACCTGATTATTCATCAGCTGTTTTCTTTCACCACAACTTCTCCTGTGCTTTTTTAGGCCAAAGATGAAGAGGAAGCCTTTCTGGACTGGAGTGAGGATGATGATGATGGATTTGATCCGAGCACACTTCCAGATCCAGATAAATACAGAAGCTCTGAAGAATCAGATAGTGAAGATATGGAAAATAAAATCAGGTATATTTTTACCGTTGGCAGCATTAAGTATATGGGTCTTCTTCTTTTAATCGAAAAGATGTGTAGAGACAAATGTCTCATGCTCGTCTCATCATTTTAGGGGCTCTCTTATTTTTTCTGTAATCCCAGTTAACAGATATAAGAATGTTTTAAGAATTATATTTTCTTTTTCTTTCTCTATTTTTTTCTCATCTCTTTCAGAATCCTTTATGCCACAGTATTTGATGCCCTAGGGTGTATATTTAATGCAGACAGAGGCAGGATTTTATTTTGATTGACTGTCAAAGGACTCTATTGAGAGTGTTGTTAAAAATTCTCTCTGAATTTTAAAAAAGAGTAGTTATACTTTCACATTCTTTGATATAAAATTAAGTAACAAATACATAAAATAACGGAAAACTTATACATAAACAGCCCTTGACAAATTCTCTCAATTTAAAATCTGTTTGTTTGTAATGTGGACTTGCTACCATGCCAAAAACAGATGACATCTGATGAATTGAATGACAGTATGACTTGCTCAGCATTTGTTTTCAGAGTACTGTGTATTAGATTACATTGAGATTCTATTGATTTAAAAGTTGAGGACATTGAACTTCATGGACATTCTAGACCAATGAACCTATTTAAGGCAGACGGTGGGTACTAATGACAGAGGAAGTTAATATGGTTGAAGGGAAGAGAAAGCTTGATGGAACCCTTAAATGCTAGCCCAGGGAGTTTAGAGTTGGAGAAATAGGCCATGGAGAGCTATAATCTGGTTTTAAGTAAGAACGTTATGAAAAGGTCTCAAAAAGATTGTCCTCTCAGGAGAAACTGCTGTAGGGAGATCATTTCAGAATTACTCTTCATTTTAATCTTGTGCTCATTTAAACATAGAATTATTTTGTAATAGTGAAAATGACATCCAAAATGCAGGCTTCCCAGGTGATGCCAGAAATCAAACATTTGCTGTTGGACAACTAGTTAGTGGACATAATAACTTTCCAGTATTTGCAGACTAGGTAGTGGACATATTAGCTTTTCTACCACAAGTGAAAATAATTTAAGATTTAGAAAAATATATAAATGTATGCCACAAGGGTTAAATAATTTAGGTTGACAGCATATTCCCAGTCTTTAGAAATTGAACTTTAAGAGTAAATATGCACGTTTTGCTTCAGAAAGTTCCTTGGTGCTTATGTTGGGACCTTGATGGACTATCAGTATGGTTAAGTTTGCTGCCCCTTATGTTCTTAAATAAATGTCCCTCTTTCAGAGTGGTTTATGGGATCTCCATTTTGATAGATGTGATCTAACTTAATACATATGACTTTACATCATAACTTCCAAATGTTTCTGTGTTAATTTTACTCTCTGGAGGGAACGTTAATTGGTTTTTACAGTTTGTTATGCACCGTGTTTTGCACATCTGTCTAACATACCCTTTAAAACATAGAACCAACCTTTGAAGTCATTGACAAGATGTCAGCATTCCTTCTGTATCTGATTCGTAAGGATTTTTTCCTGACACTTTTTATGATAGTTTCTGGGTCATGCTTAATCTATATACAGCAGACATTTCATTTCATTCTTCTGGTATTTCTGACCCTTATAGTGACATTTCCCTGCTGCCACCTAGTTAATATGACTTGTTCTCTAATAGCCTCACGTGTTTCATCTTAATTAGCCTGTAAATTCTTTGTAGCTAGGAACTCTTTTTGTACCAACACTTCCAGCCCCAGCCTCTACTCGTATCCCCAATGTTAATGTTATAGGCACAGAGAAGGCCCTGAAATATTTGAGTTGATTAATTGATTGATGAAGGAGATTTATAAAATAAGAAAGAGAAGCATAATTATAAGCAGCTATAGAATTGGTCCTAATAGCTTAAGTGATACAAGAGATGACAGAATAAATGGTTGGAGAATTGGAAGAAGCTAAGTTCAGGTAGTGTAAATGGTAATGGACAAGAAGGTAGGAGTACCTTGAAGTGCCAAAGCATCTTAAATACAAGGGTTCAGATGGAAAATAGTTAAGCGTTACATAAAAATAAAAATAGTTTTATTTTTGGGCACAGCTAGTGACTCTGCCTCAGCAGAGATTGAAAGGAATTGGTCAGTTTGTCTTAAGCTGAAGAAAAATTGTCTTTTGTTGAAGAGAATATCAACAAGGGCTTTATTCCTTTGGGGCATTTAAGGGCTTCCTAACAGTTATGTCTTTTGTCTATGAGCACAGAGATTATCTCGTCCAACCCCCTCTTATAGATGAAGAAACCAAGGCTTCAAGGGATAAAATAATTTGTCTGTGATCACAATACAGGTTAGAGACAGATCAGTGTGACCTGCCTAAATCAAACTGATTTCCTAGTTCTAATACTCCAAGTTATGTAGAATTACTCTGGCATTAGGAGAGATAGCTCAGGAAACTGCCTGAACACAAGTTGAATGTCATTTGGCTGAAGACCTGATCCATAGACTAACCATACGATAGATTTGACTAGACCATGGTTTCCCAACCTCAGCATTATTGACATTCTGGCCCAGATAATTCTTTGTTTTGGGGGGTTGGAAGTGACTGTAGACTGTTTAGTATCATCCCTGGCCTCAACCACTAGCATCTCCCCAGTTGGGTCAACCAGAAATATCTTCAGACAATCCCATATATCCCTTGGGGAGAAAAGTCTCCCACGTTGAGAACCCCCTGGGCTAAACCCAGGATGGCAGGTAAATATTACTAGTGCTTAATTTCCCCATCCCTCATCCAGGATAGGCTTTATCTATTTCCCACTTAGCCCTAGCAGTCTTTCTCAATACAGCTTCTGTCAATCAGTTGGGATTGGTACACAACATAAAATCTATTTGCCATTCCTGGATTAGAAGGCAGGATTTAGGGTAAGTTATAAGTAGTAGTCTACATGTGAAATTTCTATTTATACTCTAATTTCCATTTTTCTCACTTTTCCCTTCTCTCATAAAATTACCTCAATGGCAATGAATAAAGATATATGTAAACTAATGCTAAAATTGTTTTGGATAAGAAAAAGTATTCACAAGTAAATCCATATGCACTAAAATTTTGACAGAAGTAATTACTGCTGCTACTGCTATATATAATAATGGCACCAATACAGTTTTCCTGTATTGTTCCCAGTTTGGCTACATCTTTTTTTCTTTGCTTCTCATAAACACGACTAGATGCTAAGATTTTGTGATGTCAGTTTTAGAGGGTCCTCCCCAGCATGTTCATAAGTTTTATTTGCTGGACTGTTTCTAGCCTCTGCTCAATAATTGTAGGAACAGCTTGTGTTCCAGCCGTTTGGTCATCTTTACTCTCGCAGTAGGTTATCCTCTGAGTATTAACTTTGCATTTTCAGATATGAGTTTACTCTTTTGAGACTAGATACACCAATTAGAAAATGACTATTAGTCCCAAACTAACTAGCATGAGTTAGTTTCTTTAAAAGTTTCCTCTGGGTATTTCTTTTTCCTTCACTTTGGTGACACCCATAAATATTCAGCATGAGTAATACTTTTGTCTCTTTACAAGGAAAGACACTTAGTCAGTAGGAAATAGGCAAAGGAGAGCCAGATTTAAGTGGAGACTGACTGAATCTGGGGTCAGTAGTTCTCCTGAGCTCAGCACACAGCTGCAGTACAATTTAAACCATCCTCAGCCCTCTGTAGAGTTATCAGAATTGTCGTCTCTCTGAGATTCCAAAGGGATTCTGATGTGCAAGATTCAACTCCTTTAAGTTAGCATGACAAAAAGATCTCTTGCTTATAATGTCCCAGGAACAATGAAAATAATGTGACCTTGAGTTCCTTTTAAGGACCTTTATAAATACAGCTGCTGTTAATAGCTCCATTTATTCTCAGAAACAGAGCTGTGAAATAGGAGGAGCAGGTAATCTACCCATAGTACAGAAGGATGTCAGCTGGTTAGTCAGCAGTAGATGCCCCATCTGCTTTGGAGGCTCTAAGCTTTTGTGTGCTATTTTTGAAAAAAGGTATAGAAAGAAGCACTTGCTTTGGTGCTTTCTGGTTTCTTTTCTCATCTTCATCCGTCTTACAGATTGGTCCAGGCTGTGTTTTACTCTGTGGCTTTCACTTCTGATTCTTCCTTTGGAGCTGTGGGATTAGCATAGGTAGAATAAATACAAGATGTTAGGATTTATTGTTATTTTTATTATTGTTGTTAAAATAGAGATGGAACAATTTGGTAGGAAGCCTAGCTCTTTGTTGCAGTGGACTTTGTGACATCGTAGAATTCATTGGTCTGCTGGGAACTACCAGAATCGTGTGTCCTTGTCTCCAGTGAGTTTTGGTATAGACTTTTATACCTTTTGAGGAAAAAAGACCTCAAATATTCTAATTGTCTTTGTGCTCATGAGTGATTTTTCATTTCTTTATCTCCCAAATAGTCCATATAATGTAGTTATACTGCTTTCACAATAAAATAAATGAAAATAAAATAAAAATACTTAGACAAGCTTCTATATGTGGTGCCAAGAACCTCCTGCATTATTTAAATCACATTCTACTTTTTTAATAGTTAAAAAACATCCATTTGATCTGTTAGTCTCTAGCTTGTTGTAATATTTCTTCCATCCATTCTTTCAACCAGAAATTTTTTTAGTAGCTATCATGTGCCAGACATAGTGAGTGCAGGTACAGAGGATAAAACATTAAGCAAGAAAAATACCTTTCCTGTTTTCATTGAGTTTTTAGTTCAGTGGAGGTTACAGATAGCTAAGCATGCAATCACAAAACAATGTGATGGATAAGTGTTGTGATTTGTGCCCTGCGGGAGGCAGTGTGGAAAAGAATAGATAGGGAATGAACATGGAGAGCACATAAGTGACGAACCTAACCTGAAGGAAGTGACATCTAAGCTAAACCTGAAGTAAGTTTAAGTCTTAAGTCTTAACTGAGCAGGTAAATTGTCCTTCTAAAGAGTGTGGCCTTTGAAGTGAGGTGAGAGTGTCTTTAACCATATACCAGTTAAACAACTCTTTCAAT